CACACTCACACACACACACACACACACAACACACACACAACACACGCACATGCACACGCACACGCACACACGCCTCGCGAGCAATGAACCGCTAATTGTCCATAGCGCTTATAAACACGCACTGATTTCTTGATCTCTTGATTCACCTCAGTTAGCCGACAAATGAATATCATCCCCGCCCCCCGCCCCACATACACACGCGCGCGCGCGCGCGCGCGCGCACACACACACACACGTGTGTATCTGTGCGCGCGCGTGTAAGTGTGTGTGCGCGACCCTCCCTCGCCCCGATCACTCATGCAGGCAGTGTGGACACAAGTCGCAGCAGAAATCTCTTGTCACACGTAGCGCAATGTCTTGCACGTACAATGGGACACAGATCGCGACCAGTTCTAGAAGTTGGTAATGGTTCTCGACGCCACGACAGCTGGAAATCGAATCACATTGACTTGACTCACCAAGCTTGCGCCTCACCTCACTCGTACCAAGGGAACCCCTAAGCCATCCACAATATGTTGTCCCGCCATCGCTCTCTGCGCCGCTTGGCGGCCACGGCATATGTTCAGAACTCATTTGCTCTTTTTTCCCTTTTCACGACAAGGGGATGCAGATAAACGGAACGCCTCCCCCGCGCCCCCCCCCCCCCTCCTCCTCCTCCGCCGCCCCCGCTGCGCGGTCGCTCGCGGTTGGATAAGGGGGCAAACCGTCCGGGGACAGCAGCAGAACCAGCAGAAGCGCGTGGAAGAAGAAGAACTGCAACCGTCGATGACGCAGCTTGACGACAGACAAACAGCGGCGCAACACCACGGTGCATGGAGCTGAAGCAGAGGAACGAAGCAGCTGCAGCAGGAGATAAACTCGACCCGCGGGGCTTCAATGCATTAATAAGTCAGCAGGCAGACGCAGAAGAATTTTTTGACACAGCTCGCGAGAATGCCAAGAACCAACAAAAATGATAAATGAGATTTGAGGCCAAAACATAGAGATTGACGGAGGCCAAGAGCAATAGGACGACTGCAGCGGATGGAGCTGGTCTGACGGGAAGCAGGCGCCGCGCAGCCCCGACACTCAGGGCCTCGCTCCTCCGCTCCCCCACATGCACAAAGGCGAAAATCATGGCGGTGAATGATTCCATCCTCTAGTCCTCTAGAGAGAGAGTCGTTCTCATTTCGCACATTTCGTGAGTGGTGGAGCAAGGCTCCGAAAAGCCCGGCGTGAACCAGAAAACCACAGCCGCGGGGCCAGATGACGAGCAAGTACACGACGACAGCGTAATCGATCCATGCAGTCGATTGTGAGGGTTGGACCCCATAGCGGCACGGAAAGATATATTTTCTTTTCAAAAAAAACTGTTTCTGGGACCGCACAGGCTGCGGAAAAGCTGCCTAAGAAGTTGGAGGACCGCTTCCACTCGTCGGGCCATTGTTACCCCAGGAGGAAGGACTCTCCGTTGGCTACGGATGGGTGGGGCGGGGGAGCAAATTGGGGGCGAGGGGGGGGGCGTGGAGAGCAGCATCTGTCGGTGGACATCCCGACGACAGGGGACGTGATCCAAGTGGTGTTGGGCAGACACCCTTATGGACAGCGGAACCCAGCACTGGAGATTCGCCAATGCCCTTGGCCACCCGTTGGGGCCCTCGGGCCCTCTCTCCATGGCCCCTCCCCCCTGGTGGGAGGGGTTGGTTTTGAAATTCTGCGGCAGCAGCGGATTTCAAAATTGACTTACCGTGAGGGCACGGGTGCGCAGCCCGTAGTTCGTTTGTTTATGTGGTTCGGGAAGGGTAAGGTAGTGATTATGCTATATGTATGT